AGCTAAACTACTGCCTCAAATATAGCAAGAATCGCGAGTGGTTCAAACAATGGAGCTCGCTATCTGGACGCCTGGGACAGGCTTTTCCGACACTGGAGACTACAAATGTCTCGAACAAACCGGCCAACCATCGTACATGATCGTAAGCTTTCTATTTCCCGGGCGGTGAACTGTCTTAAAACGAAAGGCTATTTATCGTTGAAAATTGCCCTCGATTTTGAGAGAAAAACATTGTTCTTACCTTTACAATCTTCAAAACGACAACTGCAAAGGATCAAACGAGCAAAGCAACAATCGTCTTTGATAAATGAAACCAAAAGGAATTGTGGGATATTCGTGATCAATGTTTAGCCAAACCAAGATTCTTCAATTTCCTTTGCACGTGCTAGAGAATACACACCACTCCACACCACTCTGCCGGTTGATTTGTAAGAAAGGTGAAATCAAGCATCAGAAAGCTCAGAAATGGGGCCGACCACCAGAGAAGGCCAAATAAAAAAAGTTTCTCGTTCGGATTTCCACGGGACGGAAAAGAGAGGGGGCTAGCCTGTGTTCTCCCATTTTTTCTGTGGGGAGGGGGTGGCTGTACACAGGCTAAGAGTGGGTGGGCGCTTTTTTTGGTTGCTTCAGACTTTTTTATTTATGCCAATAGACCTTGTCACAGTTTTTGACGCCATCTTGACGAGTAGGCAAACATGTGAGAAATTACAGTGTTTGTATTAGAATCTAATGTCGAATAATTTCCGTAAAACGGCTTTTCTGAAAAAATATCAATCGTAAACTCTGAGCTACAAAGCAAAGGATGGTACTTAAACATTTTCGGGGCGTACCTGTGCTTAAATTTCTCCAGAGGCTTGCTTTAGATTTTCCATATATTTTTCTGTAATTTTTCCCTGGAATTTTTTACAGACAAATGTATAGAAAATTTTAAAAAGTGATTCTAGGTCTTCTAGCGCATGTAACGCCCTCAATTTTTTTCAGTAGAATCCTTAGGAGTGAAGCTTTAGTTTACAATTCATATTTTTTTCGGAACGGCCGCTTTGCGGAAATTATTCGACATTAGAATTAGATTCTCACACAAACGTTGTAATTTCTCACGCTTTTGCCTACTCGTCAAGATGGCGTCGAAAACCGTGACAAGGTCTATTGAAAGCTTTCTTTGCAAATTATTACCCTCCCCCATGGATGAGTATAAAAATGGGACTGGGACATGACATGGGGACGGGGTCACGGGAGTGTTGGGACTTGGGGGACACGTGTACACATGGGTTATAGGAAACATGGGTTTCGAAAAAATAAAGCTGAGAGTAGTCTTCTCTCGTTTCTGGTCAATTCTGCCCTTATATTTCTTAGAGACTAGACGATATAAACTGTGTCATCTCGGGCTTCCGTATAAAAAGTTCAAATGAGAAAACTTCACTTGAGAAATCACAGTCTTCAATAGCCCGTGCAGAGACGCCTCCTAACTCCAAGAATGCGAAACTATGGCGGTTCTGTCTAACTCACTCCTGAGTGGCGAAGCAGGAAAACCGCCATGCTACCCTGGCTACCCAGCTCCCTCTAAAAAAAATCGAAGAGAGAGACCCGTTTTTTTCTGAGGAGAAGGGGCATCTGTACACCGGCTACGTATACTCTTTTAGTAAATCCAACTAGTGGTCTATTATCAATGCTGCATTCTGATTGGTTGAGCTACTACTAGGCTATATGTTATAGCCCACTAGTAGAGAAAAGCGCCGGCTTTGAAAACCAAAACAATGGGGAATGAATCGCTTTTTGCTAGCTTAAGTTGTTTTGTCTCAATATTTTTGACCAAGTAGTTGGATTTTAGTAAAACAATTATTCCTCTCGCCCTCAGGGCTTGTGAGTCAATAGCCCATTCGGGCTCGATGAATTATTGTTAAAAATCTTGTGCACGCGCTGTATCTGTGTATGCGCCAAAGGGCAGAAGGACAGAAAGAAAGCCCATTTTTTAGCTGGCCGTTCCCATGGAAACGCCCGAGCAAAAAACCTGAAAGCCCACTTTGTTTTGGCGTTCGTAGCTGGCGGGATTTTAGCGTGGAATGCTGTTTTTGAGGTAGCTTAACCCTTTAAATCCTAAGATCAAAGTTTGAATTCTCATTTGTTGCTCCTTTTCATTTCCTACAGAAGTAGTGGGGAGAAGTTGATAAACTATCAAGCAAATTCATCTTGTGTGATCATGTCTGTAATTCTCATGACCACTCTGTTTTACAAAGCATTGATATTACAAGGAGAAATTTGATGCTGAAGCAACCATGACGGCGACGGCCACGGAAACGTCACTTAAAAAGTAAATTCGCTCTCGGCTTCAAATGTTATCGCGCTTATTCCAACTCGTTTAATTCGTCATATGTTGTAAATTTTTTTTGAGTTGAAGAAGGACTGTACTAAAGTTCAGGAAAAGAAAAAGAAAGTTGTTGTCTGGTGTTCCCGTCCTCGACAAAACGTGAAATTTGGAAGTTTCACGTTGTAGTCGTGCAACTACGGCTAAGAAATGTACCAAAAAGCGAGATGTGCAGAGTTGTTGTTTTGCTGATCTAAACCAGTTGCTTAAATTATGCCGTTCTCGTTGACATCGCCGTCGTCTTTGCTTAACTCCCTAGTATTCCTCCCCGGGCACAAGAAGCAAGGATCAAGCTATCTTTGTTTCGATTATCTGCATTCGTTAAGGCCTGGACACTGAGCGTTCTCTTCGAATCCTGAGGCGCGGGCGCCTTGAGGGCGCCTTCCATTCAACCAAGGCTTCCGGTTTGAATTTTTGGCAACTTCCAGTAGCGAATGTAATAGCATTTTCAAAAATTTCCAGAAAGAGGACAACCGCGCGTGGTGTACGCGTAGCGTCCCAAATTTCGAAAATTTCTTTCCATTCAACTTTGCTCCCAGAATAGGTCACTTGCACCAAGAGGTCACGTGACCAATGCTTCCTTTAACCCATTCGCCCCTGAACCGCCCGTGCGGATCCAGGTCCTTTCTACCCTTTATGACGTCATCAGTTTTAAAGGTCAAGGACAACTTTCTTCGCTAACTTGTGCAGAGTGAAGAGATCTTTCAAACCATACCAGAATGAGCACAATTCAGTCAAGGACACCGGAGAAAGAAGCAAAAAACCACGTGACAAGGACCTGAAAATCTCCATGAAAATCTTGTTCCATTACCCACCTACCTTTCCTTTCATCTAATCCTAAGATCCTAAAAGCTTTCCTAAAAACTCTTCCCACCAAAATGAAGCCTACTAAATGCCCAGCAAGAGAAAAAAAAATGAGGCAAGAAAAGCGAAAAAAGAAGGGAGGAGAGAAAGCGAAAAGTAAAAGTCAAGACTGCTGTGTCAGCCGCCCCTCCCCTCAAAAAAATCGATTTTTTTGAGGGAAGGGGCGGCTGTACACAGGCTACACGTGACCAGCTACGAACTTACTCATTTTAAGAAAATGATGCGGGTTTGAAAAACCAAATCACTATTAATTTGTTTAAGATATGACCCACTAATCGTTTTTCGAAGGCAAAATCATGTAACTTTCATTTTCATAAAAACGATGTCACATGACCTTTTAGTACAACTGGCCTATCTTCAGAACTTTCGGTTGAATCGTTATCATTTCAGATCAGATCAGAAATTAAACAATTCTCGAATTTCTAGAAACTTTCCCAGGAAATTCCCGTGTCATTCGCCACCGTTTTCGGAATTTTAGGTCGAATGCAAAGCGCCCCAGTAAGCCTGCGAGCAAGCTCCCGATTTGGGGGAGTGGCGAGAAGTCACGCGAGAGCCGCAAGAGCGCTCGCGCGTTCTCCCGCGGCTCGTTTCGCTCGTCGTAATTGGAGGGCTTGCTGGCAGGCTACGCGATTACCACCCTCGAAGGCAGGTCTCGGTTACCAAGACTCTAGTCTCGAGTGTGGGCGGGGAGCTAGCGTGACTCCGGCCCGAGCGGCTCGAAAGAGACTATTAAGACTCATTATTATTCATTAAAAATATTTCCCCGATTCTGATTGGCTAAAAGCACATGCATAATTCACCATAACCAGCTACTGATGACCAAATTTGGAAGAATTTAGCGTTTAATGAACCGATGACGTCAAAAGTGCAACCTTCTTGCAGGTTAATGCACCGTTAACCGACGAGACCTGGGTGCGAGGTTGAGTTGTTTGGGTTGTAAAACAAAAATGGCGGACATTTCACTCGTTTCAAGAGTAAGACCTAGGCGACATAATAGCTAAAAACATGACAAGAACAGCAAGAAGACAACTCGAAGGGCGACATCTGCTATTTGGAGAATATTTGCGGAGCCGAACAACCCTAAACGTGCACTATCGAAGATGAACTTAACATCGATGGAGGTAAGCAGTTTTAGCTGTTTTAAACTAGGAATTATTTTGAATGAATAATAAAACAATTATTGAATTCGGCTTTCGTATCATATGAAGAATTATGGAGATCTCGGAGGGTGTTATCCACCTGATAACACCCTCCTCGATCTCCATGAATCTTCACAAGATACTCAGCGTCATTCATTAACTGTTAAATATTGATGAACGCGCTAACTAAAGGGCGTGTCACAGCGAAGGTGAAGACACGCCTTGATGGAAAATTAGACAGGTTGTCAAACAGTCTGTGGAGAAAAGGCGGACGAGGGGCAAATATACTAGGGTTATTCACACAAACTGAATAACCACTTTTTCCTTTGGCAAATCGTTACTTAAAAGCTGGTTAAAATGTGAAATTTTTCACACAGGGTGGTCTGACCAATCCAAATAATTATTAAAAATGCAATGACCTGATGTGGCGAGTGAAACAACAATCACACTACAACAAAACACTTTATTATTTAAGTCATTTGACGTAATATTTCATACAAATACTCAAAACGACATCTAGAAAGTAAATAATTCTTTACTTTTTTCTTATCGGTGTTATTGTACAACAGTTTCGTGTCTCTTAGAACAATGTTTATTTATTACTGTCACGGCTAAAGAGGGTAATGGGGATAGAAGGCATTATGGGAGGGATGGGACGGTTAGGAATTATCAACGCAACTGGGACACTTGGCTTTGCCAACACCAACAGCACATAATTGTGGGAGAGACTATTCTTCAATGGAAGCTTAAAATACAAAACTACCTATTATCTTTAACTAAACCAAAGCCCATTTGGACAGTGAGAAAACAGCAAGGATAGAATACACCGCAGTTTGGCTTAAAACCGTGGATTTCATTCATGGACAAATAAGCCAATAAACATCGACACTGTTCCCTACGATCTTGTCCTTGCTATTTCACCATTTTGGCTAACTTCCAACCATTAGTACACAATTTGAAATTACTCTTGTTATGGACTACGATAAGAATTTAGCATCGGACTCCGCAAGGAGAGTTTCCAAAGTCCTTGTCATTCCCTTCAGTGAAGAAATTCTGTACAGAGAAAAGGTACATCACACGTGAGTCACTGAAGTCTTTACCTTCTTGTATCGATCAAAGAAAAAGTTATTACAAAGATCTGAAACAAAGCCCTCTTTTCCAACTTATTTTAAACACACAGCTCCACACCAATGCTTGAAAAATTTTTCTTTACAACAATATCACATCATCTTTCACATCTGCCGGCCAGATTCTCGAAAGGCCCGAAAACTTTTTGGGTCCGAAGGCAAATTTAAAATCCAAACCTGTTAAATAGTAGCACAGTTCCTCGCCAATAAACCAGTCAATTTTGCTTCGTTAACTGATAGTTTCATGTCATTATTTTCAAAATTATCGAAACTTTAATCTTGAATGTAAATACAGCAAACACAAAGCAGCTTTCCAGGCCCAAAAAGCTTTCGGGACTTTCGAGAAGCAGGCTGCTAGCCCCAGTTATTCCCAAGAAGGACACCGCTATCCACTGGATAGAGATCTATCCGATGGAAAGTGCTATCCAGCCTTTGAACAACTGGGGCCAGGGAATTAACTTTACACATAAGGTTAGGACAGCAATTTATGTTTTTGTTGTTGTTCTATCCTGGAAATATGTAATGGCCAGTAAACACTCACCTCCGCCAGGGCCCAGTTCTTCAAACACTGGCTAGTACTATCCACCGGATAAATATTAGGGAAACCAACTGCGTTATCCACTAGATAAATCTAGTGGATAACTTCCTGGGCCCAGGAAGCCAAGCCGTTTACTTGATTGATTCTGCATACATTCTGTTGGTTTTTAAGAAGTCTACCAAGAGCCTGTAATAACTCACCTTCTGCTCGCAGTCTCAAGTCTCATTTCCATAAAACCTGTCTCCGATTGAAGTTGAATCTGTTCTATTTTGGCTTTATCACTGTCATTTGCAAAGCATGTACTTTCTTCCCAGATTTTCTGCAGCTAAAAAAAAAACAATACAAGATGTGACATTGCAACTGACATCACATTCCTAAGAGATAGAATTCTGTCCCTAACTTCTGACAAATCCAATGTTACCTCCATGTAATAAACACATCTCATGTATCACTCCTAAAAAATCATACACTCCACTTAATCATGAAAAGTCTGAGAAATCTTCAGCTTTACTATAAATTCTTGTGTTCACTTGTAATAAATAAACTCTAAAAAGACGATTTGGATGCACTGGAAATTGTATGTAAACACAGAGACTATAAATCTCCTACGTGCTGCCGTTTTAAATTACATACATTTCATTTAGTTGCTGTTATTGTCAAGGATCAACGCCATTTAGTATATAGCAATAGTGGCAAACAAAGGACATCACAAAATTCATGATGGTATTATAAAAGGAACTGGAATATTGACTTCCTTTAAGCAATTTAAGACCAATTACTTTTGATATTGGGTAAAGTTGGCAATGATCTGCAACTTGTTATACTTTTCACTTGTTCAGTTTTTGAAGGCACTCAAGTGCTCTCACCTGTCTGTCTATAACATCTGTTGGCCAGTTTGACAAATGCAAAGCAAGATTTTTATCCACAAACTTTCCTAATAACTGCAAATTGACTGAAGGACCTGGGGGCTGGGAAACAGTCACTGGACTTGAAGCATTTGAAGAATGAGAAAGTGGACTTGAAGACACTAAATTAGATCCTGGTGTAGAAAACGAGGGAAGCTGTGGAGAGGGATGATGTGGGATAGGATCCTTGAGCATGGCCTGCTGTGTAAACATAACAGGAGACCCAGGTGACCTCTGGTGTGGTCTGTCATCTTTCAAATGTATAGGAACTGGAATTGGTGATGCAACTTGCTGTGCAGTTCCTGAGGATTGAGGGAGTGCTGTAGCTGGTGGTGCTCCTGCAATAAGCAAAGACAATCCTGGTAACTAGAAATGTCCTGCCTTTATTTAAAAACACAGTGACACTCTATATTTATGAGCGTTTAAGGAACCATTAAAAATTAAAAGTACAAAACCACTTGTTTGCACAAAAAAGAGTTGTTTTGTTGTTTATATGGCATGAAGGATTAGAAGTGATCAAAATGGCTGTGCAATAAGCACAATGGAATTTGGACGTGCACATGACATTCTCAGACTCGATTCCCAGAGAACCATGGTGAAAAAGATACATGTCACGTACTGAGATACATGTAACCATTTCAAGTCTCTAAACTGGAGTCAAAATGACTTCCCTCAGGAATTATTCAGAGAGGCAAAAAAAACAACAACAAGAGCAAAAAGGGTAGAATGATTCACTAAAATGATAAAGAAGAGAATTATAACAAATCAAATCATGAGGAAAGTTTTAAACAAGTAGGCATTGGCAAAAACAAAACAAAATAAAAACAAAACCAGCTTATAAAAACAATGGTTTGTGAGCTTCAACGGTCACCAATATCCTTAGCAGGAGGAGCAGCAAGGTAATTAATTTATTTATTCTCCCAAGTCATAAACCGAATACATCTTTTCAAAATCAACAAAATTAATAAGTACTACTTAAAATGGCAAGTACCCCAAACTGTAGCCTGTTAGACTTGCTAACTTGGAATGAAGAGGCCACCATTTATTTCAGAAATTGTGAAGTATGTTCACATAATTAAAGAGCGAAGAACACCACTCACCCAGAGAATATGGTTGCTGGTTATGAGCAGCAGCAGCTGCAGCAGCTGCTGCTTGTTCCTAGTAGAAAAACAACAAAAACAAGTCACAAAGTGTTTGCCAAACAATAAACAGCAATGGTTCTGTTTGTGTTTCCTAGACAATACCCACGTAGCTATGTGTAGGTTATCGTATGGGATTCTATTCTGTTTACTTGTGGTTCAATAATTCTACCACAGAACTTCATCAACAGCAAAAAAAAAGGTGTACTGCATTTTTGAGAAAATGATTTATTTCGAACCTTAACTTGCCTCCTTAACACCTCTGCAAGTCTTCCCAGAGATCCTTTTATTACCATGGAAGTACGTTTTTAATAGTCATTTTAAATGTCTTTAATCTTGAAAGATCTTGTTATTAGTTCATTTGTTATATTACCTTTTACATGTTTTATTATTATTATTATTATTACTTATAGTCTAGTTAGTGAATTCAGGGCTCCTATTGATAGCAGGTATTCCTTGTAAGCTCCCTGAATGGACTACCCTGGGTAACTCCTTTCTGATTTTAAATAAAGGCATCTATTTATCTATCTATCTTCCTTTGCACTAATTGTGTAGTTCCAGAAAATATCCATACCCCCCATGGAGGGCAGGGGGGGGGGGGTGTGTGTGTGTGTGTGTGGGGGGGGGGTCCCTCTTGAGCCTTTTTTCCGGGGGCTCCGAGTAAGATTAATAAGCAAGCTATCAGTTATTTTACTGTTAATTGGTGTTTCAAACCAACAACTATTGTTTTCATCGATGATCGTTTTTTCCAGTCGGCTGAGTGCTTCTTTCACTGCTTACACAATAGTTTATGTAACATGATTGTCGTAAACTCATGAATAATCTGCTGGTTATCTATCAGTTGCTTTGTTACACAATACATTGTGGTATTCAATGTAATGTGGTCATGTTCTAATAAGCCTTCTTCCAACATGTTTTTAACTGAAAGGAAGTAATGGAAATTCACTGGTTTGAGAGATCGCATCACTTGTATCATGTACGGCCGTATCGCCTCGATTGTTCTCAGTGGCCTGCCGTAAAAAAATTAACTGAGAAAGACCTCTAAAAGGCAAAGTTGAGATTATTTGACACTGTATTAACACAAATAAAATGATGTTTTCTCTGTTTATCGCAGAAACAATAGGGCCATTTATATGAGGAAAAATAAGACGCGAACTGTACCATTTATACGAGCATGTCTTATCTAATAAGACGCGTCTTAGCTAAGTCGCGTCTTATTTTAGACGAAATGTGCCGTTTATACAGAAAGTTCGCGTCTTATTTAAGACGTGTCTTATGTAAGATGCGTCTTATTTTTCCTTGTATAAATGGCCCTAATATGTTATTATATTTCACATCAAAGTATACTGCAACGGCATTTTTGACAGAAATGTTCTTTCCAGGGGTACTGAACCAAGTTGGAAAATTATGGAAATTCCAGGGGGGTGGGGGGGAGTATGGATATTTTTTGGGAACTACGCCTTATTACAAAATATCTAAGAAAATGTCACATAGGCTAGGGACTAGGAAAGGATGACATTTTCAGTCAAACCTGTGAAATAATGAATAATTTTTATATGAATTTCAAATTTTGGAACTGCAGAATGATTAAATAAATGCAAAGAAGATTATCCCAGTTTAAGATGCAAGTTATGCAGTTGCAAAATGAAACCCTGAAAAAGAAATTCAGGCTTGCTGGGATTTGAACCCTGACCTCTGTGATGCAGGTGCAGCACTGTAACCAATAAATTGAGCTAGCAAGCCACCTTGGAGCTGGTCATTAGATTGGTTAGTAATATGCCCAGAAGAGATGCAATGGAGTGAAGAATAATTTAATTCATATCTGTCTGGATTTGTTAAAACATGGCTAAAGAAATTTCAAGTGCATTTTAACTATTTGACATCTAAGTGGAATGGGAAGCAGTTAAAAGTCACTAACTGAAGCTAAACAATGACAGCATTATTGCTGGCAATAGACGGTAAAGTTCTCTCGTAGAAGTACCAGGATTTTGCGATGAAATAAACAACATTTGAAATGTCCAGAAATTGTATTCTTTTAGTCAGTCAAACGGGGAGGCCCACAGCTCAGTGTCGGCCGAAAACAGGTTAAGAATCCACAATCTTTGAGCACAGAATAGGCTTTCTAAGAAAAAATCACCTAAACTGAACACTCACGAAGTATTTTTATGCTTGGCACAAAGTATTCTGGTAACACAAGCTCAACTGCACATACCTGACATTTGTCTGAGTCAACACTTTCGGTAAATCTCACAATAAATGAGTTTTGCGGCAATCAAAACATCTCTGAAAAGCACTCATAATACTTCCACACTTAACACTGGCGAAACATTGTCAAATTACTCCATAAAACTCTTGCTTTCTCCACATAAACCGTCACATGGAACTTTTCTCGACTCACTGACAGTCTATTTATTCAAGATCCCGGATGTAAACCAGCGGTTGAAAAGGAGACATACAGCCCTCGCCTTCCACACAATTTTTTACTAAGTCTTTGGCCTGGTCAGAAATCAGCATGAATTTCCATCTTGCCTAATAGATCTTAGGACCTACTTTGTGCGACCAAAGACTTGTTACTGCCAACAACAAAGCTTGCAATATCCAATCTTTCCCTCTCAAGCCCAGGATCAGTCTTTCGCCCGAAATGAGACGAAATACCAGATGATACTGGACGCAGCAGACTTTGCCAGACGTGAGAATTGTTCCTTCATAAGGCTTAATGATGCCTTCCAGAAAACTTTGGTCAAGGCAGCCAAAAAAAAAATAAACGACAACCAACTATGAGAGCCGAGTTCAGTCTAATACGTGCGCTGATTTCAAACTGACATACAGAGAGAATTATGGGAAGTTATGAAAAACATTTTTATTGGGGGGGGGGTGGGTAATAGGTTAAAAACCCACGAGAAACTCATCAAAGTCTATCTACTGTGGCCTATCCGGTACTGATCAAATAAATTAAAAGTAACTATGAAAAAAAAAAGCTCCACTACAAGGCTCAGTCAGAGGGTATATAAGAGAAATTTCTGTAGCCATGTTTTTGCAAATCCAGACAGGTATATGAATTCATATAATTTTATTCATTAAACCAACACATGCCAGCTGATAAGGTTAAGTCACTACTTAAGAAGAGCCCAATAAAAAATAACAAACCTCTGACATCTTTCGTTGTTGTAGCACTAGTGTTGCCTGCTGAAGTGGATGAAGAACGGGCTGAGGAGATACTTGAGCATTAAACTTTGTTGGCTGTGGTGAGGGTGTCTGTATTGCAAGAGGTACTGTTGCAGCACTGCCTTGGTGAGACACTTGAAGTGGCCCACTACAATTAACATGAGGATACTGTCTATAATCATTCATTTGAGGCTGTGCTCCTTGTTGTGCAATTCCATATTGTTGCTGTGCAAAAGGATACTGCTGTGATGCTTGTGGAACAGAAGATACTGGGACTTGGGGAAATAAATTCTGAGCTAGAGACACTGCATGTCTTGAAGGGAACTGGGCTACAGTTTGAGGAAAGTGACCATGAGGTGAAGGGCCTCCATGGTGCTGTGAAACTTGTGGTGATACTGCAGTTACTACATTTGGTGATGGGGTATGGGAAGAGTGGTCATAGAAGTTGGGTCGTGAAGATGGTGTGGTTGGTGGTGAAACATCTTGTAAACTTCCTGCAGGGGAAACTGAAACAAAGGCACATAAAAAAAAATGGTTTGTTTCAAGCACAACCATTACATAATTATTCAGTTTTAGTGACAGTGTACAAAATTAAGGCAAGTGATGTAATGAGTCACATTTTAGCACACCATTTCCATCGCCCATACTCTCACAGACAATTGACACAATAATAGAAGCTTCTTATTCATTAACCCTTTCGTTCACAAGTTCATGGGAAGGAAAAGGCTGTTAAAAATACTACCAACAAAAAATTAATTTCTTGGCATCGATCTTGATAGTATGATGTCAAAAATTGATGCAGACTGTTTGGGGATACATTAATTTGAAGCTACCATGCATTTGGTACCAGAAAACCAAATATCCTATTTTTGAGACTTTTTTTTAAAATAAAAACTTGACAAAAATATGTCTCAAAATAGTTGCCTTTAAAGTTTATCACCGTATGATTGCTCCACACAGCAACATATATCAAAGCCAGTAAGAAAGATCGATCCAATTCAAAGTAGACAGACTGCAAATTATAGTAGTTGCTAAAAAATGTATCTATGTGTCCCAACCGTTCATCAGTAGGATGCCTAAAATGCGTGCAATTCCACAATTCGTTTCGGCTCCATTAAATCCTATACCAATTGCGGAACATTTTAGGACGAGCCACCCACTATGTGAGAACACTCGCGGACAACACATACAATGTCACACAAGCAGACAATGTCACACAAGCTTTATTTTGAAACCAAGAAAGCAGAATAAACAGTGTTCAAACTATGAAAGAATGGCTAAAACCTTTGACTGGTCGATTAAAAATGGCGCTATTTGCATATGTTTCTTTGTAAAATGACAAATTTTGCTTGGAGTTACCTTACAAGCCTATAAATCCAGCACCTTTCCTCAACAGCACCACACACTTAAAAGTTCAACTGTTTGAATCTTAAGCCTCATAGTTTGCTGAAGAACTCATCAAAAAAACACGACCATTACCGAGAAAAATCCCCCAAAATATAACCGAAGCTGAAAGATCTTCGTCTTCCGTCGCCATTATTTGATTCGTGTGTTGCTGAGGTCAATAAAATATCAAAAATTTGACCAAAATTGATCATACAGACACAAAATGTCGCCCATGTTGTTCTCTTTCTTGATCGAGTCACCTCAGGCTGCCCAGGACTCACGCAAATGCATGCTGACCATTTTTCTGCAGACCCCTTCTGATCCAACGAATTTGTACAATTGCGAACAAAAGGGTTAAGTGAAACTGTCTACTATGGTCCACTAAACTTACCCACTGTTTCCCCTCTAACATTTGCGGCAACAGGGACAGTCCTTACAGAAAACAAAAAAATAGCAGCAACATCAATACCTGTCACTATAACATCACAATTGCTTTGTCCAAAAATAAAACAGTTTTGTGTTTCCTTGGAGACAGAGAGTCAGAGTAGTGAGTTGGTAAAGTAGGGCAGAACAGCCAACAAGGGACAAAATATTATTGTCACACTAAGGTGATGATGTAGAGGGCAAAACACAAGGAGACAGTTTCAGTGTAAAACTACCTATGGACAAAATATTCAAAAAATGCTGATGTTGCCTGAACAATAAACCCGCAGAACAAACGTTAATGATGAGTAGAAGTGATTGGTTATCAAGTTCACCCCTAAACCACATAAATGGGTAATCAAGCAGAGGTCATCAGTTTTTTAACAGATCACTGGGGTCTGAGTAATTTTTGACAAACTTGTTCAAAGTTATGCAATTTGAACAGTAATTCCTGAACAAAAAGGGATCTTAAGCAAAGGTGTCACCAAATAATTTAAACTTCCAAAATTATTCCAATCATGCTTTCAAAGCACTAAGTCAGGCCATTTGACAGGGTGCGATAAAAAATCAGAAATTGTGCGATATTTTCAGGGTAGATTGTGCCATAAGATAGGACTATTATGCGATAAATTACACGATTTTTACAGGGCTAATTTACATTGTTTTACTAAGTTTGAAAGAAGAAAAACCACTTTAATGTTGTTTAATAGGCAATTTGAATGTAAAGGAATAATAAAACATCTATTTTAAAGCAAAATATTTAAATTTGTCCGATTATTTTGACCTGGAAGAGAAAAACAAAACTTGCTTAATATTACATGATGCCATTACACAGCTGACCACACTGCTTGTCTCTGAAATCAAAATGCTGCCCAGATACCACTATCAAAGGTTTCGGATGCCTTGCAAGGCTTTCTTTAGAGGTAAATCACCTTAACTAACATTACGATTGGGAAAACGTTTAATTAAAGTTAGAATTCATTGTTTACTTTACTTGAATTTAGCATTTTTTTTAACGAATTAAGCGATTTTCCTCAAATTGTGCGACCGGATGCGATTTGAGATCAATTGTGCGAAATCGCACCATCGGGTAATATCAGATGGCCTGCTAAGTAATAAAAGCTCAGATAAGATTGGTATTGTGTCCTATGAGAAAAATCTATATTACTTTTTTCCTCAGAAAAAAATTTCAGTGTTGATAGGTCAGCAAAGAGATCGATTTAGGGTGTTTTGAGGTAAGAGAGAAAGGGTACATCATGATATACACTTACCTATACACCACAGTGGGAAGAGCTGTGGTATGCACTGAACAAGTTTTGACCACCTGTCTTTCTCTGTCACTTTCACTAAGTCTTTGCATATCTTTTCGGTGATCAGTGGACACATTCCTAGATTCAGTATGATTACCATGGCTACTTTCTCGTTTTTCAAGGCAGCTGTGATAATCTCGGTGAGCACTCTTTGAAGGAGATATGTCTGAAATGATTTGAGCCATATTATTGCAACTTTAAGATTTGAGTGTGTGTATGACTCTTTAAGTTTAGTTTGAGAGTAACTTCTGATCATCAAACAAAACAATCACATACATGTACCTTAAGTCTCCTTTCTAATACAAGCAACAGCAAGGAGTGTTTAATTTCTGGCATGTGACTGGTGTAAAATTACAGTTATTTCAGAAAGTGGTGTAGTTGTAGTCATTCTTGTACTTGTACTTAAATCTAAAATGCTTAGTTCTCTCCAGATAGATTGAAACTACATGGGTACTGGGAGGAGAATAAAATAAGTGACAATCATTATGGGTGATTACAGTACAATACCATTCAAAAGTAAGTTGACACTTGCTACTCGATCCTCGCGAGAATCGAGATTTGATTCTCGATTGTTGCATCTCGATTCTAGATTCCTGCAAGACTCATCAAACCTGAATGGTCTTTGTATATAGTTGATTATACATGTGAAGGGTTTTGAGTACTTTGCTCTCTACTCTCGATACTCGATTGCTGCGAGAATCTACAACCTTTGCTCAAGTTTTGAGCAATCTTCTAACTTTTCTCACATCAAAAAAAATCTTTCTACTCTATTAAATAACAAAGTCTACTTAGCTTCTGATTCTTGCGAGAAATTCCTGAACTACGCAAATTATACAGTAGTAGTTGACATTTGCATTTACTCACATGGCACAGCCAGGTGACTCTATGTCGAAATCTCAAAAATGTGCGAACGGAATTTTTCATCATTTAAATAGCAGATGTTGTCAGTAATAGTTGAACTTGAAAAGCAATCCATGACTTTTTATCTGTAAAATCCAAATAAAGGCAAAAGGAAGCTTGTGTAAATAAAATAATGTTAAATGCGCGACAATGAGTACACAAAGACTCAAGGTGCTTCTCGTTGCTTTTGAATTTTACTTGCCTATATTTTTTCGATTGCCTCTTTGTGAATGTCCATCGGTATTATTGAAGTTGAATGTCTGATTATCGGTGTCTACAGTCCGAGGGTGTTTTTTTCGCTGGAAACTTTACTTATAGTTTGACCTCTTGACCAGAATTGCTGTTTTCGAGATACGCGATAGCATCTCTGTTTGATATTTTGCCCTTTGCTTTTTATGAGACGTGATTGCGTACATAAAACTTTCAATTTGAATATATGTGTAAAGCTTCAGAAAACTTCAGAAACGTCTAAGAGCTTTGAAAACAATATTTTGTCTCGTGCAATACAGACCGCTTTTGAAATTAACATCAAGCAATTTTTTATCACAGTAGTCGGTACTAGCAGTCACATGCTAGGCAACAAAAAAGTTAAGCATATCATGTTCCATCGCGGATTTTATGAGATTACTTCAAAGGCCTCAAACTTTCAAGAACATGCTAAATTTCCCAGTACAATTATAACCATTGTTTCTCAAAAGGATTTGAGGATCACGAATGCAATTTCAGGGCAAAAGACTATCCATGTTATGGACGGACGTGTATGTTACAACTGATCTTTATCAAGCCAAGTGGCAGATAAGCCCAGAATCGTTTGACATTACAAAATAAACATACTGTTGCTTGTAGACGAGTACACACTGTTTGCTTGCATTTGGAGCAGGCATTTGAAACTTTACTTGAGGAAATGAAGCTCGATACAGATATCCTTGAAGAAACATTTGCTTTATAACTTGAATTGGTCTTTTTTCGAGCAGACAGTCGCCTGCCCGAATATAACCATGCCATGTTGTGTTGCAGCTGTATGTCTTTGTAAAATATCAGCCATGGGTGAATCTTTTGTTTCCTGTTCTACGACATTCTATCCTCGACTTGATTCTCGATAGCTTGTTCTTGATTCTCAATTCTCGATTAGCGAAGGAATCGAGAATCGCGAATTGAGACTCGCAATGGACTGTCAACTTACTTTTGAATGGTACTGTAAGTGGAGCATGGACAGATAAATAATATTATTGTCTCAGACTTTAAAAATGTGTGTTAGAGGATCATGCCTTAAAAACATTTTAAGCTTACTATTACGCACATCACATATTTTCTTTTCCTTAACAAACAGTCTAATTTAATATTAATTTACCACGCCAAAAGGGAAGTTCAGTGTTAGTTGAGAAATATGGAGTACTTCAAGGAAAGTGTCTACGTAGGGTATTTACATACCTGTTGTTAACATATCAGAAATCGAAAAAATGAGGGTGCGCCCCAGCAAACAATTGAGATTTCTGATACAAAAACAATGGGTGCATAAATACCACACAAAGCACTTTCTGTGTAGGATTGGGTTCATTAGATACATATTGAGACAATCACTGTTGTTCACTTTTCCACAAGAAAAGCTCTCCTTTATGGACCCAACTCAAAAAGCAATGGTACTGAAAATACCTACGATTGAGTAGAACACTGTATACATATAATAATGCGAGTTAACAAACAAATTGTCATTTCCAAGAACCAAATCAACCTGAGAGGTTTAAAAACAAGTTCTTAACTTTGGCACACATAACATTCAGAAAGTTCAAGGCTGCATGGTTAACACAACAGTGCCTTGCCAATTATTAGTAACCTAACTGTTTTGTAGAGCAAAGGAAGTGGTCTGAGCAGCATACGTATCTTTAAGGCTTTGTGTGTTTGTATCTGTGTTGCAGGGTGATGAGCCAGTAACATTGGAGGTACTATGAGTTTATGGTAGACTATCCCGAACTGTACAACAAACATATTTGGTAGCTTGTAAGTTATGTCTCACCTGCCTCAAAGTGGAGTATAAAAAATCAAATAATTATATCCAAACAAACTTTGCTGCCTATCATTTGAGTGAAAAGGCATCAAAGGGCAGGTTTTTTTGGGCCCAATAAGGCTCCAAAATCACACTAATGAAGGAAACGGAAAGGAGAGAAATAAAGAGTGAGGAGAAAGAAATGAGGAGAAGAGAAAGAACAAATGAGTGCACTCTTAGTTTTTATAATGGCTATTTTGGCCGAAAAAAAAAAGAAAAGAAAAGAAACTGTTGGATGCAAAAGTTTTCAAAAATCCGGGTAGCTATATATTTTCTATATAAGAGTATAATCACAGTTATAGACACAACTTTTTAAATTTATTGTTATTGATACTCACATTTGCTTTGCTTTGAAGAAGCATGCTGCTCTCGGTGGATGTGGATACTAGAGTCTCTTCCATCTTTGATTCCAAAAAGGTCCCGTTTTTCCTTTTCCTTTCTCTCTTTCTCTCTTCTCTCTCTAATTGAAGGGTCAAGGTAATGAAATAGGGTGTGTTTCATTACTGAGCAATCACAAAAAGCCTTTATTGATGAGCTTCCTCTCTTATCTTCTCAAGCAATCAGTTAAGCACTACTTTGTCAGCCCATTTACACCCGAAAAACCCTAAGCTGCTCTTGTAAAACCATGATTTTGGTACAAGAAAGATACCTTTATTTCACAACTTATGACCTCCTGGTCAACTTGTGTTTATAAAAGCTTAACTAAATTTGCAATCAATATAAGTAAGTAGGCAACTACAGCATGTATGTTTTCACTGTGTCCATTAAGGAAAACAGTTCTTATGCATAATGAAGCTTTGGCACGAAGGGGGTATCAAGGCTGTGCTCTAAGAAAAATTTCAGGGAGCCCTTTGGGTTCCCAACCATTCCAGCTGGGGTTCCCTGGCCTCCAAGTTGGCCACTTGAGTAGATCTGATGAAGAAGTATTTTGTACGCACACGAACCTTACTGGCCTGCTTATCACCAAACTTGGTAATTTTAGCTTTTGAGTGGGACAAAAACCAGCATGTTGTCTTATGAAACCCATCAAAGTTTTCATGCCATTCAGATTTAAAGCCAAAAACGTTAGCAATGCCACCGAATTGTTCTAGTTTTAAAGAGGGAAAAGCAAAAATTTCAGCAGGTTTACGTAAACTTCATTAAGATGTTTGGGTCAAACATGGGAAAACTATGCTTTTTTACCAGTAATATTAAACTTGAAAATAAATCTTCAAAATGCGGCAGTTTACGGAGTTTACACGGCAGGCGAACTCAAGTTCCCGTGAAAAATTTCGCGAAACAGTGAAACCGCTGTGGCCCCAAACCTATTGTTTTAATAAAAAATAAGTCATCTTTAATTTTCTTTTCTATATTATCAGTGAATCTTTTAGGATAATTGAGCTTTTCGTGGACACGGTCGAAGCGTAAACCAGCTCTTCTTTCCGTGTTTTTAATTTTTTTTTTTGGCCGCTAAATTTACCCTATATATGCATGCGTGCGAATTTAGTTTTCGATACGTACAATGCCAAGACAATGTGGAACTGCCCTGTTTCTTAAACAACAATAAAAACGATCAGAACGATCATATCTTTTCTTTTCATATTTCGTTATCTTATGCAAAGGGAAGAAAACGATCATAAGTTATGTTTTAGCCAAGCAGACACAACAGCCAAAAACCATAAAAATATTAAATTTGCATACTGGTCAATACAGCAACTTCCGTTTCATGCAAAAATAAATTATTCCATGTCACCAACCGCGCTCTAAGCTTGTCAGAAAAGTATTAACAGTTTCTCCTAAAGACTGTACCTAATAAACCATTCTATCTGAAAGAAAAAATTCTGAAACTATTTTAAGTTGCAGTACAAATCAATCCGTGCCGCTTGTCACGTTCAAAGTGATGCATTATGTTACATGTGAAATCATGCAGATCGACCTTTGAACATTGACGCGCGCCCGTTATTTTCGTTCAATATTCCTAAAAACATTTTCTGTAGGGTTTAGTAAACTCTGACTCAACAAGCCAACACTAGTATGTTTAATTTTTCTGCCCCCTTAACTGAACACTGCGCTACAAGCGAGAGTGCCCGGCAGGGCGGTCGGGAATTTTTTTTCAGACGCCCGAAGCTAAATGTTAGTCGCCTAAGCGACCAGGTGCCGTTAGAGCACAGCCTTGGGTATGAGTTAAAAAAAAAGAAGAAAAAGAAGAAGAAGAGAAGAGCTGTGTTCTTTCCCAAAACACAAAACTTTTGCTAAAGCATGTAGGAGGCACACAAAATAGATCCCCCCTTCAACAAGAGGCTCTAGAATGGGAAATCTGGTCACCTGTCGGACTTATTGAAAACAAACATGCACATCAGCCCCAAAACCGGTTTGGTGAGATATAAGATCCGCACCTTGCATGAAAGCAAGATGGGAAGCTCTTACAACCAGGAATTTTATTGGAAAAGAAAGCACTGGCACCTACATGTAGAGTACTATTAGGAGTATCTTGCATATGTTACCTTTCCATCCATTCCCTTGGTTTCTCCCACTGGGATTTTTCTGTTTTACAGTTGTAATAATACACCTTTCCGGAAGAACTGGTGTGTTGAGACCAAGGAAAAACCTGCAAAACAAACAGGGATGGGGTTAAGACAACCCAAGGAAAGTGCAAAATTTGAATTGCAATATGAACGCTTAAAAAGATAAAAATTAAATTAAGTTCTTTTTGCCCGCAATTTGATGGTTGGATGCTCTAAACAGAATGGAGAAAATTATCGTTTACGTAGTGTGTGTAAGAAAGTTGGCGGGATGATCGGAATATTAAGAAGGCTTAAAAATCTTATGCCAGTAAATGCCAAGTTACTTTTGTACAAATCAGCTATTATGCCACACCTTACTTATTGCCACCTAGTGTGGCATTTTTGCACGGCATCTGATAGTCGTAAATTGGAGCGTCTACAAGAAAGAGCCTTAAGATTAGTGTATAATACTACTACCGAAAGTTATGACACCTTGCTGAAAAGAGCTAAGTTGACTACTTTACAAAATAGGAGGTTGCAGGATATACTCATTTTGATGTTTAAAGTAAAAAACAAATTAACAGTGAACCAAATTGCGGATATTTTTAATATCAACGAGGAGAATATTAATAGTAAGAGATATAACCTAAGAAATGCAGATTTTGTCTTACCTCGGTTTAAAACTGTTACTTATGGAAAACATTCTCTCAGATTTCTCGGACCACAATTATGGTCTAAACTAAGCAAGGAGGAGAGAAATATTGCAACTTTGGCAACTTTTAGGACAATGATACGTAAGAAGGATGTAACATCATTTCTTGAGGGATGTGGGAGTGAATGCCGCTTATGCTTAGATTAAGAGGACGACGATATTTACTTATTCATTTTAGTGTCCGAGCTAAGTTTTTATATTGTAAATTTAGTTTTTTATTCAAGTGTTAAATCTAGAACTTAGTTTTTAGAGTGTAAAAGAGCACTTAGCTTGAATAGTGTCAATTTCCGGCTTTTATAGTACTTAATTAGTTTCTATTAATGATGTAATTTAGTTTTAAAGGTGTCCCCAATTAGTGCCAATAGGCACTAGAACGACAAGACACTTTAATAAAGGTTATGTATGTATGTATGTATGTATCCGAGAAAATGCTTTGGAACAAAAGAAAAATAAACGGAATAAAAAGTTTTAACCCCGGATTAGTGCCATTTGATCTTCCAAAAATTGGCCCCCCCAGAACAATAAAAAAGATGATCTGAAACTAACATGCAACACTTGCAGCCCTGGAATGTAGTTTATGCTTTCACATGCACAGCAGACACAAACATATAACAGTGTAAATGTACAGTTCAAAAGTAAGTTGACAGTTGATACTTTATCCTTTGCATGAATTGATTTGAGATTTAAGACTCAATTTTGCAAAGATGGATTATTGACACTCAATTCTCAACAGTCAATTCCTGTGAGAATTATGGTTTGTTCAGGACCAAGACTCCAAAAAGACTGTCATCTTAGTTTTAAAAGGCACTGTATGTATAAAAGTAGATTTGTAAGCCAGGAGAGCCCTAGGAAGTCAATAACTGATTGGGGCTTTCAAGGAACCACACAATGGATTTTGCGGTCTTATATCAGAGAAATGTCTTACAAGGAAAGACTTACATGTACTACACTGGACATGTTACCATTATTATTTGATAGAGAGCTTAATGAGATATTTTCTACAAATGTTTGTGCGGGCAAACAGATCTAAATCTACATAACTTTCAGGGCCATAGCCAGACTTCAGAATAAGACGAGGAAAGTTTCAAGCACCAAAAGCGCAAGCCGCTAAGGGGTCTGGGGGCATGCCCCCCCTGAAAATTTTGAAATCTAGGGGCTCAGAAATGCTCTTGTAAGCATTTTGTGTGGCATTTTTCTTCACAAAAGTCAATCTTGGGCAAGTGTAGAAGTTCACTTTTTTATTGCTTAGCGACACTGGTGCCAAGTTAATGACCATCTGCATTTTAAAGCATTCAAATGTTGTAGCACGTATTATAACAATAAAAAGAATCCATGAGAGTAGCCAACGTTTATGGATTTTATACTGTAGATAATTAGTCTTAGGTAACACTTTTTTTGCAGTTAGTTCTTAGATGATATACAGAATCACGCTCACTTATCAATTATCTGTTTTGATACACTCTTGCTTATGTTCTTCAACTTTGAGACAGCCATGTCAAAATACTGCCATCTCTTATACTTGTAGGACTAAGAAGTCACTAACTTTCACGATTAAGAGTAGTAGACTTCTCCCTTAACAGTTAGAAAATCAAGACGAGGCAGTTGCCTCGTCTTGCCTCATGCTAGCTACAGCCCTGACTTTGCTTTTTTGGTAACTCATGGCCATACTAGCAAAGCAATCTTTCAACTTGAAAGTTTGTTTTGCACAACTTCCACATTTCAGGTCTCTTACTTTAATAGGATAGTCAAATTAAGAAACTTCACTTGTAAATTTGTGCCTAAAAACTCTGACAAGTCTTTTGCAAAAAACATTAATTGACATGGGGTGCCCATGCACTTGGTCACTTGTAAGATCGTGCACGTTATGCTATTTCTATACATGTACGCTGATATAATTGTGTCATTTCCAGCTTCTTTCTTTTTACTATCTTTTTGGGCAGTACCTTGTATGGGTCCTTATGGTCTCGTTTGTCCTTGCCCCTTTGGGTATAATACCTTTTTTTCCTTTTATTCTCATTTTTTATTTCTTTTTTAAAGAGTTTCTATGTAACTAATTATGTATAAGGTAATGAAACCCAATAGAGCTGTTAAAAAAAACAAAACAAAACAAAAACATCACAGCCATCCTTCAAGTGAATATGGTAACTTACCTCATCATTGTTGATGTGATTGGGTTTACTATGGCGATCACTGCTGCCATGTGAGTTGCTATTAGGAAGGGCATGATGACTGAGTGCATCAGTTGGAGACTTGCTAGAACCTATTAAAATAGATTATACATATAACTGCACTTTCGATATATCCAAATCAGATTAATTTCCCTAAGTTACTGTGGTCTTCAGTCACAAGACCACAGTTTCAAGAAACTACATTCACATTCTCTCACAGGTTATTTATGTTTCTCCCATTTCAACAACAAATTGGCAGCAATCAAAACCTGGACTGATAGAACTTTTTCCACAAACAACACTAGGATGAAGTTCCACACAGACCTTCAAAATTGTCTGTCATTCTAAGGAAGAACTTCTTCCCAAAGAACTCATCCACAAAAATATTTTCAAATATATTCAGACGTCATTCAAGAGCTAAATAACACACCGATTCTTGAATCAAGCCTTAGGAAACATTTGAGTTCTATTGCAAGATCCCTTACATTGGGCACCTCTTGTCATAGTAAAGAGAAGGACATGTTGCAGCTCAAAATTTATTCAGCTTAAAAATTTTTAACCTAGGTTGCCTCTCAATTTCCTTTGTCTCCTAGGCCTCAATATTCAATATTGAGGCCTAGGAGACAAAGGAAATTGACAATCAACCTAGGTTAAAAAATGTTACCCGGGTATACTCTTGACCTGTAACAGATATGTTAACTTGCTAATCAGTTATGTAAACCTTTTGATATCAGGCTAGTTTTTCCTACTTTCAAAATTACAAATTTTTAACTAATGGTCCAGATAAGAAGGAAAGAACAAATGCAATGAACATGTGAGAAAGCAAAAAGGTGCTAAATTCACTATTGCCTCTACTATACTTCTGATTGGTTTGAACTGCAAATTTTACGAAATCTTGGCAAAGCAGCATGTATAAAAATCCCGTTTTCTGACCAACTTCTTCACAACAAAACCTTGTTTGAGTCTAAGTAACCAGGGTAAGATGACAACGAAAAAAAAAGGTACTACTTTAGTTTACTCGCCCGGAGCTCTGAAGAACTAGCCTGAGAGTAAATTGATGATTGAAAATAATCAAATTTAACTACAAATATGTGAAGCAGAGGTTAAGGGCAAGAAGTAGAAAGAAAGTAAATGAAGCCAATAGGGAAAAGAAAATATATATATTAAAAAAACAACAACAACAAAACAAATAAGCAAACAAAACAAAACAACAATGAAAAAAAAAGAAAAGGTACTATGAACGGTTCGAGCCCCACACCTTCGGCTTAACGTGACTTCACCTTACCACTAAACTACTAAGGATGATTATATAAGTGAAGTGAAAAGTCTTAATGCCTTTTCCACGGAACTTCCATCGGCAAACGCTGTTTAAAGCAGATCCAGCCGTATTAAACACGAATTCAAAGGTATATTTCAGGAAAATAACTGGGCTATTGACAGTAAAAAAAACAAAGTAAATGTATTTCATGGCAATGAAAAAACATGTGCCCAAGAAAGCCGGTACAACTCGTCTGCGAAGTTGGACGCAAAACGTAAGCTTACTTTTAAAGCCAATAGTCCAAATCACATCGATTTTCTGAAAAGGTACTTCTACCTTCAAAATTTACTGCTAAAAGCATTTCCTGACCTATTAAACTGCCGCTAAAGCAACCTGGCCAGGTTTATGATGGTTTTGTTTACACGCTGCCTTGTTGCTAGGCAACTGGGTTTGCCCAAACCGATGGAGAGAGAGATGTTTGTGACTAAATTAAAGCAAGATCACACCTTGCTTAGCGATTGTCATGCCACTGGCGTGTGCTGCGCAGGCTAAAAATTTATAAACTCGCTTCATGAGAATTGTTATACAAAATAACACAGTACAGTATGTGGTTCCTGGTCCGTGACTTTTCCAAACATGATGAAATATGTTGTCAAAAAAAAGTACGAAAAAAAAAAAGAATGAATGAATGAATGTGTCAGAGAGTTTTTTGTCTATTGCCGTGAAAAATAAATCAAATCACTTACTTTTTGAAGAACAAAATTGCAAATAACTTAGTAACAAATGAAACATTGTTGTAGGGTAATATTTCATTCAAACAAGACAAGAATAATATCATACTACGAAGCAAAAAGTAATTGAATTCTATTCTTTCCTGACGGTAAGTGTTGCAGAATATATTATTTTAATGCTCGTTATGAAAGTTATGATTGATTGAGAAATGAAACCAGTACTAAATATCTTGTAAGTTTATACAACAAAAGTAACAATTTTAGATCATGTGACTGAGTCTCAAGATAGAGATTAAATTACGCACAGATAGTCTCCCTCGTGGCTGTTTTAGTGTAACACTAAAAACGGCTGTGAGGGAGACTAAGCGTTCCACGGCAAACAGCAGCTTATGCAGTTGATTATGTATACTTTTCCTCAAATCATAAAATAAATCCACTAGATCGAAAATAATTTACATGTTCAAGAGTATGAGAAATGCGAAACTACTCACTTTCACATGGAAACCGCAGATGGCAGAATTAAAATTGGATGTTTGTGTTTCGCGGAAAAAGCAAATTATTCACAATAATTAACGCAAAGACAAAGTCAAGGCAAATGAAACAAAATGGTTATAAATGACGAGGCAGATCCTGACTGGCTTTTTTAACAACTTCATAAAATAAAAGCAAACAGCAAATTTAAAGACTTGAGTAGGAGGGAGGGTGAAAGCAAAATTAAGGCCACTTACGTTATTTCCCAGAACGCATAACTCAAATTCAAGTTCTATTGTTCGTCTTTGATGTATTCCCACATTTTTAAAATGTTATTAGCATTGATTTTCACTAGTCAACTGTTTGTTACACACTTCTCAATTCTTTTTTAACTTAACGAGGTAAAAAAGTGAAAAAAGACAACAAATGTTGCTTGCCCATCGGGCAAACTGCAATAAAAAGACACTTGCCCAACAGGTCGTTTTACCAGCCCTGGGCTATCGGACAGCCCTTTTGTCGAGTCCCGAGTAACACAGAAATCCTCTATGAGGCACATGTGAAATTGTTAACTAGTCTTGGCTATTGTTTGCAACTCTTATGAATATGATTGGTTGAAATTGTTCAACAAAAAAAAACCTACCCCTTAAAAACGGAGTTTAAATACATTTTGTTTCCTAAACAGCGTTTTTGTAGGTTTATGCATTCTCTGTGCAAAAATGAAAACACTCCTATGTGAGGAAAGTGTATTACGCCTTAACAAAAGAAATTGCTTCCCATCTAACCAGGATCATTACTACACATTTGAGGTATAAAAATTTCTGTGTGCAAGTTGTAATGCTTGTTTAGCAGGGTTCAAAGTTAGCAACTACCTGTTCGCATTTGCAAACTGATTTTTCACAGTGCACCTAAAAAATTTGTGATTGCACTTGCACCAAGTTCAGTGTGACTGACTTTACTGAGCCCATCCCTTATGCACTCAGACCAAGACAGATGATTGACAAAATAAATTCAAATGTAGGGAATTATTAAATATCAGACCCCAAATAATAAAGTTACATGTACATCATTTTCCTTGCATCATGCTGCATGTTTTGTATTTCCACCTTTAGTTTCTCCCAATTTGGAGTTCCATTTGTCTCGACATCTAGGCATCCTATTTTTGTCATCTTTGTTACAAAAGGTCATACATGTATGTGGGTGGAAGAAAACCATTCAGAAATTAACATGTATCCATCCTTTATGCACCTGCTTGAAGAGATGCAAAATCTGTTCAGAAGGTTGTGAAACAAGTCCAAATGATTTTTATTTCTTTTTTTTGAAGAGACATCTGATTCCTGCAGCAGTTGTATTAAGTTCAGTATTAAAGAGTAATTCCTCAAGATTATGGAGGTGTCTAAAATGCATGCTCAATGGAAACCACAGATGGCTCCTTGCAGAGGTTTCTCTCAGGGCATAAACAAACCAACTACATGACTGACAAGCCATGCGAATGACTTTACAAATGCTAAAAGTCATACTAGAAAGAAACTGCTGCTCGCAGGGTATCAAAATACTATATTCAATAACTCCAAAAAATGTACGAAACCTGCAGCTTAACAGATTGAACATCAAAACACAAAAAGCCGTATATGGTTTGTAAGAACTACAACTGGGAAAAATTCCATTTCATCAATCCCAAGTTTTTGTGTGACATTAGAGCAACAGCAACATCGGTGAAATGTGATTCTTGGATCTGTTTCATTGCCTACCACATGACTAAAAGTCTGCTCCAAAACTTCAAGTAAATACAAAGTGACATCGCTGTTGTCTTTGGGCAAAGAAAGTGATTTGGAGACACATCTGTATTTATAAAAACAGTGTGATTTCTAGCTCTTTGTCAAGTCCAGAAGATGCACTTCACAGTGGAGATTTGTAATTTGTTTTTAAAAGCCCTGCTTATTCTCTTGGCACATGCTGTTAGTAACATGCATTCCCTGCCTAGACATTTATTTCAAACCAACCACTAGCAAATGAAATCATTTTCAACAATATTTTTAGCCCTCACAACATATAACAGCTTGTGTCCATCTTTCTTTTGTCTCCCCTACTTGATGAATTTACCTGGAAACTTGAAATCTCAAGTGGCAGGTCTCCTCAAAGAATTGAGAGAATTTGATAAAAGATCAAAGCATTTTCCTCAAGTAAAGCAAGTAGATCACTTTATAAATTCTCTTAACCTTTTACCTTGATGATGTATGATATTATCAGTAGAAAATTGATGTTGGTCACTTTAGGAACTTAAAGGGTTAAGTTACTGACAGTCTTGACTTTATTGTTTCCCTCAGTGAACCAATTACGGTACTTTTGATCCCTAAATTAAGTTTTATGTTTACAATATGGCACAACACCCAAAAAGTCAAAGACCAGGAAATAGACTTGCAGGTGTTCCTATTAACACTTGGGGTGTAATTTCAATTCAGTCTTTTGACCTTTAATTAATGTTGAAAACTTCGGAAATCGTGTGAGTTGACAATGTTATTTCTCTCTGTAGTAAACCTCTCCTTGCTTTTAACTTGCCTTATTTTTTGGTACCGTCTGTCTACGGTGATAAACACTATTTATTCGACCTTTACTTGACCTTTCATACTCTTGGGTATTGCAAGCTGCTGTGTAGAAAGTCCAAATTTCAGTGGTTAAATACTTACCTCTTTTACTGCTTTCTCGAGATCGGCCGTAGGGTTTCGGCCGGTGGGAACGCGGAGAAAAGTTTGAATGGCGGGAGTAAGGGGAACTGGAAGAACCGACCGGCGATCTGTCTCTCTCTCGACTGCTCTCTGAGTTACAGTTGGAATGACTCTTCGAGTACTTGGAAGTTGTCTGCAATGACAAAACACCAAAAAGGGATTGTCCCTATAATTCTGCTGGTTGATGGATCAAGTATATCCTCCTTTAGGAAAACCGATGAAAAGGGTTTCGTTATGAGAAGTAAATCTTAAACTTCTCCAAATGAAGTTTAGAAATCCACTTCACATGCTCCAAGATTTCGGTTGAATACCTACCTGATATGGATGATACTGACTCCGGTCATGATACCTACGAAAAGAAAAAGAGTTATTTGAAGTTTTCTTAGACTAAGAGGCAAAATCTCCGGACGAACAGCTCTCTGAGATCAACTTTGTCACGGCTTTTACCCAGTTTATTAATGAAAAACATGGCCGCCTAGCATGACTCGCAATCTGTCAATTCAACGCGTACTAACCCGTCCGCTGGCCTCGGATATTTCCTATTACTCATCAAAACTTCCAGTGTGGCTTTTGGAGGAGGGTATGCTCCCAATAAAAGTTAGAATTTTTGACAAATCGTGACAATAACAAAGAAAAAGGAAAATCGACCATATCGCCACACTGCTTTTACGTCGCCATTACCGAGCCTCGCAAGCCTGCATAGATCATGTGACTACTGATCGACGTTTATTGTTGAACGGACCAATCAAAATGTTCATTTCACCAGCAGGCGAACCGAGCCGGCAGGCTGCTAAGTTAGCTTGTTGTATGGTCAAAGCTGAAAAGATTCTTTGTGTTAGTCAGATACTAACCTTTATTTTCTCTTTATGGAGACGGGAAAGTTAATCTTTAAGGGAGGAAAAAGTCTTTCATGTGACAAAAACTCATACTTAGCGACGACAACGGTCAAATTGGTTGGTACAAATCTCTTTTGTATTTGTACGTATTGAGAATGTGTTTCGATGCTAGAAAAATTGCATTATGGTAATCCTGCTACATGTAATGTCAAACTATATATCTGTGAAGGAAAACTCCAGGATTACAAAACACGCCATCAGAATCAGAGTGTAACAGTATAGCTGTCGGCTTCCTTAAGATGTAGAGCAGAATTAGGGAGAGAGAAGATTGTACACTCAACGTGAGTCCTTTTTTTGGAAGAATGAAGAATGTATCGTTTCATGTATTGAGGAAGAGGCCATGTTGCTGTTGGAATTTAGTTATTGTACTTTTAGATTGTCCTTGTGGCTGTCGTAGTTTCAAGCCATCTTCATGTCGTTTGTTTTCATCCAAGTGGACTGTCTAGAAAGATATTGGATATTGCTGACCCTGGTGGGGTGGGGGGGGGCTTGGGTATTTTTTGGGTGGTATGTGCCGTTCGGGACTCCAAATTGGCACCCCGTTCGTTAAAAAATTTTCCCTAAAATGGATACCCCGTTCTAGAAATGGGCCAATTTTTCATTACCCTGTTCTAGAATTCGCCCTGAAATTGATGAACCAATTTTTTACACTCCGTTCTAGAAAGTTTGTAAACTGAAATAGCCCTGTTTTTTTCCACGCGCCTATTTATCCAAGATGGCGGAGTCAGCACTCGCGGCTCGTGCCAAAATACGCCCACCCTGCATGCTAAAACACAGGGTGCAATAAGAGTACAACAGTATCAATAAAAACTGGTACCAGAAATTTCAGTAGAAAATATCAGTAAAATTTTTTACTAGATACGGTTTTCTTCAAAAAGTGGGGTCCTTTTAAGCGCTAATTTTGCAATTAAATATTTACCATCAACGAAATCGGAATATTTTGTATTATTGCCGAATTCTTTGCAAAGTTTCACTGCCATATCATTAAAAACAAAAAAGTTATGACGAAAAGTGTGTCATAGCTAAATGCACCTGTATTAGTGACTGAGCCACCTTAAACAATCGATTTTATCCATTCTAACAGGGTGGTAAAATCACAATACAAACAGGACCTTTATTGTTGTTGTTACAAGGAAAAATCTTCTACACAACTTTGCCATCGTGTCTTGAAAGAATTTACTTTTCCGAGATAGATATTTATTTATTTCAAGACTCATCTTCATTTGACCTGTCTAAAGCAGTATCCTAAAGCTAACCATCCAGAATACAATGAAAGATTAGAAAACTTGCAACCTTGTCAGCAGCCATGTTATTTCCAGGATACCGTCAATATTGTGGGCCATTGCCATGGAAATGAATGAAAAATAATCGCTTTGTGGATACATTGTTTCTTTTCTCAATGAAAAATCCTAATGATTGGGATTTTTGATCTGATCTTGGATTTCAATAAAGAAATGCACCCTTTGTTATATCAAGCTGTGATTTTACATAGAGAAAATGCAGTAGATGCTACTGGTAATCATCATTATTATTCATTCAACTATTTCTTCATTTCTGATTGGCTCAAATTCCCAGGCTTAATCATCTTCATAACCAGCCAGCATTGTTCAGTTTGGAACATGTTTGCAATATCCAATAATTTATCTGAGGAACTGTCAAATGGGACAGGAACTTTACATCAGTTGAGTTAATCTTGCCTCAAGGCACGCTTTCCAAAAGTCTGAGCTGGCCAGCTGGAGGGGTCATTTTGAAAATGAAATAGGCCTTTTTTAAGAGTTTTGCTTAAAAACCCATCAACCCTTGCATATTATCTAGGAATTGACTGATCTGGCTAAAAAATTTTGATGATAAGTGAAATTCTCATTATGAGTGGAATGGTCGGGTCAGTTTGTTCATAAAGTATGAATTATTCTTAATGAATAATAAAATAATATAATAAAAAAATTATTGAACTTGCCTTTTGCATGATATGATCTGAAGTTTTATGCCAATCTTAAAAGAGAGGGGAAGAGGTGCATATGTACTATGTTAGGAGTTCACAATACGGTCAATAGTTTTTGACTCGGGATGGGTGGTTCACTGAGTCAGATGCATAATTTGCTACATCAAAGGGTGAAGAGGGGATGCGAGGTTTGGAAGATGAAAGGTATTAGTCTGTTCTAGCCTCCAAGTTGGGGTGTGTAGGTCCATGAGTTACCATGTCCTGGTAAGCCATGCAGTACAGAAAAACTTGCATGTAGAACATTATGTACTTTTTGTATCACAAAAGATATATGTACATTGTAGATAATTTTTTATCTCAGGTAATGTTTATTTTTCTTTTGTTTCAACTTCATTAGCATACATTACCATACCCACAAACAAAAGAAGAACAAAAATTACCTGAGGTAAAAATTAACTTCAACATATACCGGTATTATCTGATCCCATGTCTCAAACTGAGCTACTTGACTTTTTTCATGTGAATTAACGGAAGGTTGAGGCGTGTGTGGCGGAGCGGTTATCAAACTCTGGATCTGGAAGTCTGGGATTCAAGCCTTGCCTGTCGCATTGTTTCCTTAGACAAGGAACTTTACTCCACTTTGTCTCTCTTCACCCAGGTAGATAAATGGGTATGGGTGACATACTGTTGGGGGGTAACCCTGCGATGGACTAACATCCTATCCTGAGGTGGGGGAGTAGCAATACTCCTAGGCATGCTTCATGCTAAGGAAACTGGGATAAGCTCCAGCCTTTTTGGCCTTTAGCTCTTGTGCACCTTTACCTTTTTATATTGAAGAAAGCAAGAGGAATTTTTTCGCATAATTCTTGATATTTTGAGAACATTCCTCAATGTGTTGAAAGTTGCATAATAATAATATTAACATCTTTAGTCAATGTTCTTATCTTTGAGTTTTTTCACAAAATAATTTGGGACACAGCTGTTAAAATGAAAAAAAAAAACCTCAAATAGAAAATCTCAGTTTTATCACACACCACATTGTTCTTTACGTTGGTATTTTTTGGAGTAGTTTTATGGTGCAAGCAAGTGAAATACACATAGCACATGTCCAAATGGACAACTGAATTGGACAAAAAGTTTAATTTGCTCTGCATAGTAAAGTGGTATCAATCAAGTATCATTTTCCATAATCTCATGCTCAACATCTGCTAGCTCTTGAACACACTGATCTCTGCGTTGTTTTATAGTTTTAAAAATCTGTTCATGTTCGTCGGGATACCTAATCAGATCTTCTTGGAAACACACAGCCACTGGAGTCAAACACCGTGGGGTATTATCATCTAATTCATACCCATCAAGGGTTGTCTGAAGCATGTTCCTTAGATGATTGATATCATGCTGATATCGAACCACTACAGATGAACCTGTCGGGTTTCCAATTCCCTCCAAAAGTCTTTCAAGGTCCTGAATCTCTTGTCTAATGATATCTACTGTCCGCATTCCCTTATATCTATCATCAATCACACCAACTGCATGTGAAGGTACCTGGTTGAGCCCGGAACCCTTATGACAACATTGTTTTCTTTCTTTGTCTTCACCATCATACAAGTGTTTAAATCTTGGTTTTGGAGGCTTATATTTTTTAATTTGCGGTGCAGGATTGTATATCAGCGAATCCTCGGGTTGCTGAACTGGTGGAACACCAGGCAAACCATCACACTCTCCGGTATTAACACAAGGAAGAAACACAAAACTGTGTTGCGGCTGATAGCAAGAGGGCCAGTCATCAGGAGTATCATCTGTAAGCCACTTACTCAGACTCAAAAGACTTTTAGGTAAAGATCTGTTATGATATACTTTTGGTAACGCTGTTACGTCACTGAGAGGCCCTTGCTCTTGTGAAGCAGTGTTGATATTTATTAATTGTACCTTCTTGTTGACATTTGTGTCATAATTATCGTCCGCCAAGAAAGTGGGTCGATTAAGGGCAGCATGTCCAGAGAATGGTCTCCAAGGCAATCTTGGTTTACCTACTACTTCTGATGTTATCCTCCCCTTTGCACTATATGGTCTTGTTTTCTTTTCTTTTGCATGAACTTGGGAAAGACAAGGCGGAGGCCCCCTAAAACTGGTTGTGTAAACACTGTGTTGGGCCGCACTTGGTGGCCTTTTAATGTTAACTTTGGAATCATACAACCCTCTTGCAATGTCGTATATCTCTGAATCCATACTCGAATCATCCCATTTTTGCTTTGACATGACTGTAAAGTTTCTTCAGGGCGACTTTAACGTTTTTAACCATTGTTGCCTGGTTCTGGACCGCCGCCATTATTTTCTCGAACGGGCCTCACAAAGGAGAATTCAACCAATGATATTAGCTTTTATATCAAGAAGCGGGATTTCTACGTAAACCAATCAGAGCACTTGTTAGTTATCACTTTTTACTGCAGCCTTTTGCAGCCAGAAAAATGTTGCGGGAAATGGTAAACAGAAAGTTTCATTGAGCTTAAAAGTCATTTTTATGGAACTTTTTTGTGAAAAAAATAGGAGAATGAATGAAACCATTCCTCCTTTAAAAAAAATACCGACGCTGTCATTAGAGGACTGTTCACAGGCGTAGATGGACGACACAGACGAGTCAAACCCCATCGTCCCGCACAATTCAGTTGTGGACTGTCGTTTGCATGCTGCATCTCCTACTGGGACTGCTGG